GTCAAAATACGACACAACTCGTAAAAATACTCAGCGATACTACACAACAAAACGTCTAATAAGATATATATATTTGCACAGATTCACTGGTGTGTACTACAGCAAATCTTGCACAGCTGAGACTCTATAATTAATTGTGAACACCTCTTCAAGGTAAAATTTGAGGCTGAGCATGTTTTAGTATTTTTATAGTCAGCATCAATTTGATTTAATTAGTTAATAGGTAGCTGATGAATGAATAACATACCTTTAATTATTTTTCTCAACATTTGTAATTAACATACCTTCATTGTATATATAGATACATGATTATAGTATATTATTTGGAGAATTTGTTGCTAGAAACATGGCACAAACTTAGGTACATGATCACAGTAGATTATTTGGAATGCAAATGGAGAACAATTGCTGTTCTTTTTGTTAACTAGTTTTAACGAGTATATGAATTACTGTAATCTGTCAGGATTGTGTAATGCTAACACAAAACCTGCCATACACCATATAATGTAGTTAAGCAACAGGAAAAAAGAAGGGTAAACATGAGAAGTGTTTTTCAAACCAAGCTATGGCTCTTGAAGCCCAACTGTGCAGAAAAAGCAACCTGTAAAATTTACAGCTTTACTCTCTAGGAAACTGCTCATTTTTCTAGCAATAGAACTTTTAATGGTAGGCATTATCCACAAGTATACCTGAAGGGAATTATTTCACTAGGTCTGTAGGGAACTCTTGCAAAAAGCAACTCAAAATGGTAAATACTTTAACAGATCTTGCTATCACTTAATTATTTGTAATGGTACTATCTTTCACTGACTGATACATGAAAATGAATCGCTTCAATGTCCAAACAGTGTAGCTTCTTAATCTTTGGTTATTTCTAGTGTTTATAGCAGAAAGATCTGAGTAGAATGTAAGAATGTATTTAGTTCCAACTTAAATTATAGTGATAGCAATTTCACACTAGACTACATAAGTTCAATATTCCAAAAGAGGCATCCATAAAAATTGTATTTGATGGACAATAATTGAGTTTGTTGCTGGATGCATCTTTTCTTCAAGGTCCTCAGCCATAAGCATGTTTGCTGGTCTGAAAACATAGTATCTGAGACAAAGTAAAGTAGGATCCATTCTTATTTAATGCCAAATGGCCACAGCATGGAAGTGATGGTTATGGCAGTAATGCTGGTGATGGCAATATGTTGTTGATGATCAGGGTGACAACAGTTGCAATGATGGTAATGCATTGTCATCTTGCAGTCTGATGTAGGTTAATTTTTACAGTTGAATTTCTGTATCTGAGCAACTGTGCACCCCCACCCCTTCCTTAACCGAATAGTTTAATAAAAACAAGTTAATGTTAATGTACTGTTAGGGGAGGGGTGGGTGTGCATTTGCTTAGAAACTTACATTGATCCACTTAACAAATACTATTCCTTGTATAAATGCTGATAGTTTCTAAAGAAACTGTTTGGGGCTGCGTCAGTGGGGGTAATAAAATAATTTGGATATATCAACAAAGTTGAAATGGTAAATTGGCCACCGTAACGATTACAAAAGCTGACGTTTCGAGGGCTAACGCTCGAAACATCAGCTTTGATAATCGTTACGGTGGCCAATTTACCACTTCAACTTTGTTGATATATCCTAATTAATAAAATAGGTTGTGGTTATTTATCATGATAAATAACACTTAGAAGAGAAACATAATCCTTTGTCTCAGATGTACTTGGTCACTTGGGATGTGAACAGCAACATTTTGATTGGATACTGCTAGTTTTTATCAGGCAGTGAGGTCAACTGAGTACATGTCACCTTTATGCTGTTGTTCTCAGCTGTAATTGGATGGAATTCTACAGCTGCAGTAAATAATATGTCACAAGATGATAGCCTGGACTTACCTAGTGGATATGGCAACATCCACTCGCCATCGCAGTGAATCTAAAGTTGGAAGGTGATTTCTGTCTCGAAGAGCAGCTGCATCAAATGCTGGTCTTCTACAAAATAAAATAATCATAAAATATGCCTCCTTACTTGTTACACTATGTAGTTACTCAGGTACAAAAAAATTTGCAATCAAATCTAAATTTTGGCATGAGAAAATCATTTGTGACCGTGTAGTACAATACATTGGATAATTGATATAGAACATCATAAGCCATTCAATATGTTTTAATTTTTAAGGTTACCAGTCCCTAAAAACAAAAACACACCTGTATAATAGATAGAATAAATTTCACAACATATTATAAATCCACTTACTTTTCTCCAAACACAACACTTGAGAGATCAGGAACTAATTCTGCAGGAATCCTTTAAGGAAAAAAAACCAATTTGGCACCATGTGAAGCCATTCAAGTACAAAGCAGGGATTGACAGTTATCTAAACTTTACCACCCAGTTGCTCAAAGGGCAGATAATTTCACCCCAAATGGAAATTTTAGCAATTAACCCCCCCACCTCCAGGGGCCGTATCAGAGGCCTAATAGGGCACTAACAGTAAATGATATGAGCATGTTAAATTTTTCAAATTACCACGAAAACATAAATAAAAGGTTTCAAAGGCTTTCTTACTTCAGTTCCTTGAGGTCTGCCCTAAACTGTTCTGGTTTTAAAGAGGTCTGGGGCAAACGCAGAGCACTGCGCAGTAGCGAGTAAAGCCCAGCATACAAAGAGGATAACATATCCTCAGTTACAGTTTCTGACTGAAGCTTCTGGAGTAGGCCATCATCAGGAACGTTTCCCTCCAAAACTGAGATAATAACTGAAAAGAGCCAAAAACAAGAACTCAGCAACTCAAAATGAGTAATTCATTTTGGGCCATTCCATTTTCAAACTGCACCCCCCCCCCCACTCTCCATTGAAGGATTTCCTGTGACAACCCTTCACAAGAGAAATTTCTGAACCCCATTCAGATAATACTCAAGGAATTTCTACCTAGAGTACTTCATACTCCTTGGGAATCTGTGAACCCGCTGGAAACTTAAAATTATATTATCCCCCCTCTGTTCCCACTTCCTCCCCCTCAGAAATCCTCAACCTTGAACTTTTGTTCTCGACTGACCCCTCACAGAAATATGATTTTGAGATTCCCCTCTCCCCCTTAGAAATCCCAGGCCTTCAACAGGGGGGTGCGGATTGAAATGGAAATGCAATTTGTCACATAGTGATCCCCCATATTGGGCATCACATTTGGGTAGAGGAAACTCCAGAAATTTTGTATAGCAAGCTAATTTGATTTTCGGCTTAATTTTAGCCAAATGACAACATATCCCTGACCTGGAGGAGAATACTAAGTAAGCAATTCAATCCCTTATAAATTGATCTTTATCGTCGACAAATACGGACGAAAGTCACGTGAAAACATACAACTGAGAGCTTCCAGCGTAAGAGCATTAATATGGTCTTTGTGGTTGACAAACGCAACTACAACGAAGAAACACATTTCCCTCGTACTTAGTCAGCAAAATCACATCAATATAATAAAAATACCGAGAGATTTATGAAGGCAGATCCGACGAGTCTTTGACATCTCCATAGTGCATAAATTATGCACTTGCTATGAATAGCCAAATGCTATGTAGATAATTTAGAGAGATACTGCGACAACCTACCTTGTAAAATCCTTCTAAACAAAGCCTTATCTATCTTTATTAGATGAGGTATCATTCGTTTCATTTCATCTGGAGTTTTTGGACCCACAAACAAAGTAGTTTCCGTCAAAGGAGTTATCGCAGAACTAGCGCGTTCACGCGCCATCTTGGATTTTACCCTCGATCCAGGCCTCCCAGTAAAGGGGGCAATGTGACATTTTGTCCAACCAGGGGAGGGTGAAGTGCACCCCGGCCGCGGCCATCTCTTAGTCCAACATACTACAAATTCCCCTTTGCCGCCTATCATCTAAGAGGGTCTCAATGGAGTAAACCGTCAACCGTCAAATAGCCAAAATATTAAGCGTCAACCGTCAAAAACGCAATATTTTTTACCGTCGACCGTCAAATAATGTTAGCCGCGCCGTCAGATGTCTCAGATATCCTTAATTAAGAACTAAACGATTGCCTTAACTGGGGTCAAGCTCTGTAAGTTCTGTTGTTTATAAATAAAAGTCTTGATATATCAGAAAAATACATTTATGTAAGTCGTTTAACTTCTAGTCGCGAGTAACAAGTGAAACTCGTTAGCGATAGAACTGACTTCCGGTGTGGAAACACTTCCGGTGTCGTAAAACGTCAGCCATTTATCAATAAAAGGTGTTATAAATTAGCAGTTCTTTACAAACGCGTCATTATGAAAAATTGCCGCCAAATTTGCTCGTTTAGTTCGTTTTAGTTCGTCAAAAGGACTTATTTTTAACCGTCAACCGTCAACGTGGCCCCTCCCTCATTGAGACCCTCATCTAACACGCCCACTTTCATCGTCCACGTCGCCTTAATTTTTTAGTTTTGATGACATCGATCTCGACAGGTTCGTTGAAAGAGAAACTTAGGCAGATAACATGATGGGCTTTGGTCGCAAAATACGTCGTTCCGTCCTATTGTCGGGCTGGGGCACACGAGCCAGGTGAAAATTCCCTTGACGATGGATTAAATTCCGAGTGGTCGCTCGTTAAGAATTGCTCCTTACAAGAGGTTTTCAAAGGGGTGATGGATTTTACAGCAAACTTTTAATATCATGCCATTATTATATGGCTGTGTCTCTTTCGCTCCGACGAAGGGCTAACGCTCGAAACGTCAGCTTTTGTAATCATTACGGTGGCCAATTTACCATTTCAACCTTGTTGATATATCCAAATTATTGTGTCTCACAAGGACTGGGAACTACCGAATTCACGAATTTGATTGGCTGAAATCAATATTGAAAGCGGTCTAGATTTTCCCATCTAGACCGGCATCTAGACCGGTCTAGAAAAAAAAAAAGGTACAAAGAATATAAAAAATTGGCATGTAAGACACAGCCATATAATAAACATCTTATTAACCGAGCTAGGTCGGTCTGTATGGGAGAATCTTGACCTCGATCGCTAGTATAGACCTCGCTGCGTTCGGTCTGCACTGGCGACCTCGGTCAAGATTCTACCATACAGACTTCCCGCTCGGTTAATAAGAACTAATTATTGTCACCTGAAATTTTTCTTGCGGTTAATTTTTTTCGGTTAAAATTTGTTAATTTTCACGCCTAATGCCGGAATACAGAGCATATGGATCAGGTTAAGGTCCCCTGAAAATACTGTATACCCAAGCAGCGAATATTTTTTTGGTCGACTCGAGAATATTTTCAAAATCGATGATAAATCAAGTCCAATAGCAGCAAATCTATTTAACTGATTGGCTGCGTCAGGATTGATAGCAAGCAAGCTGGTTCATGATTAATGGTTCATCTCACCGAGTGTTTTTCTTTCTTTGTATCGGAAGTTACTTAGCCTCTTAGCGAGCCGTAATACTGACTAATAGCAAAATTAAAAACTGTACGACAAATTGCTCCTTTGTTCAGTGTTTCTGCATTGCAATAATTCGTGAACGTTGAATTTCACAAGCCAGCCAGCCATAAATATATACCGGCCATACCTGAGGTACGCATAATGGTAAAAACTCGGAATTCATATCCTTTACCTTTCTCAACGAAGTTTGTTTGTCAAAAATTCATGTTCGAAAAAAAATGGGATAAGATTTCTTAGGACAACAATTGTCTTTCGGAGTTATTGTTTCAAGATATTAAAACATTTGCATATTGGGCGTGATAATCTTCTAGAAAGAGCCGATTTGCATCATATGGTTGTGCATTAACATAACTCGTTTATTGACGTTCTGTTTGTGAAACAAGACATTAGCACGCAAGTTCGTTAGGTCTCTAACTATCGCCTGGGAAGGAGAAGCAAAAAAGGTAACTTCTTCTTTTTAGTTTTTTTTTAGTTGATTTAAATTATACACGCGCTTGATTTCGGGCGAGAATTCAACTTCATAAGCTGCCGTTCCACTCAAGCTATTTAAAACACATTTGAAACTGCTGTAGTCTGGCAATTTTTCTTTTAAACTCATTACAACATTTCTTCAGTCCTCTATGGTTTTCTACATTTGAATGTTAATTTTCACTAGGGTCAGCCGAATGAATGCATGGCCACACAGTATTTTAATTTCATGGTTACTGTCGTCTGACTCAGTTCGTGATTGTCAGATGTAGGGAAAGTGCAGAGGAGCCAAAATACTTTCGATGATCAATACTTAAGCAATTATGAATTGTCTGATGAGGGGATATCAGTTACAAAAAATAATTGCTAAAAGACTAGCTGATACCCCTATCAAACTATGAACGCACTGACGCTAACGATCTGCTAGCACTGGGGGCTTTTTCGCAACGTCGAAGATTTTCACACACGATGAATAAATTAAAGTGTCGTGTTCCCTGAAGCCGTTAAAATGTTCTTGACACTTCTGGATGGCTGACTGAAGAGCACAAAGCGTGGGGTAGAACATTTTTGTTTACAATAATTATATTTACTCTGCAAGTGAGATAAGATAACGAGTTGATATAATTGTCTTGCACCAGTGAACTTGACCCTTGGAACTTTTTTTATTTAGTTAAAGGTCCGCCGCGCGATCAAATTTAAATTAAATTACGCCAAAATTTAAGAAGTTAGTCAGAAAATCATAATTTTTTCAAGACTGAGTAAAAATACAGCCTTCGAAGCGACAACAAAGCCCTCGTTGACGGCCACTTTAGAAGCAGCGCATGCTATGCAGATGTATAGTTTTGTCTTTCTCAATGAAAGGCACCGTGACTGGTGGCATATTTAAATCTTTTCTGGTGGTGTGAATCAGTTTTTTTATTATTATTATTATTTTACTGCGAGGAAAAATGGTTGACCATCCGCTAAGGTTACAACGGACGGATTAAAAACCCAGGAAACACGCGCGTCAAACATAAGCAACAGAAAATCAGAGATAAGAGTAAATGTTGATGCTGCAGTTAGAGTATCCATTCGTTCCTTTCCTAACAAAGAGAAGGGCTCCTCAGGCTGGTATACTTTTTGTCTCTGCCTCGAAAATAATGTTTGAATATATAACACTGACTGCTCTGTGAAGTTCCTGAGTGTTATTTAGCTGAATCCGAAATTAAGCGGCTTCACTGAAAAGCGCGAACAAAATTCGTCTACGTGCGGAAGCAGCCATTTTGAATCTTACCTAACAACCGTGACCTAGCCTAACAAGCTAATTGTGACATGACGAACTCTCTCGACCTTCTTGAACAATTAGGAGCTGTAAATTGAGGCACTCTACCCAGCGAGCAGAGCCTTTTTAACCCGTCCTCGAATCGAAAAGGGAGGGTTAAAAAGAAGAAAAGAAGAAGAAAAAAAAAGAAAAGGGAGTCTGCTCGCAGGGTAGAGGCACTCTTGACTTAAGGGTTGAATTTTTCCCTTGCGATTATCAGAGCATCAGCCGTTTCGGCCAGGTTACTAAGTTAGAATGGCAGTTAAAATGGCCGCTTCCGTATTCGACTGTTTACAGATTAGAAAAAGATTTTCGAAAGATTGGTTACTTTTTCAAAAGAAAAAAAACCGAGTCGTCACCCTTCTTTACCTTTACCTACCTCCTTCCTATGGTTTCTCTCCTCACCATAAACCTTGAGCAGTTTAGGGTAAGAAGATAAAATTGCCATGAATGTGCATTCCATAAACTAAACTACTCAAAGTCAGTATCCGGCATCATCACGAATCTATCAGCAAGATCTTGTACTCGGGTAGTGAACCGGGCACAGTGCCCGAATTCTAGCGTGGTTACTTTAAAAAAAGGTGTGTTCGCATAAGTGCTCATCAAGAATCGCACTCGGGCACCGTGGTCGGGCACCAAGTGTGAACGTAGCCTAAAACAACGTTTAAAATGGACGTGAATGAATGGTGAATGAATGGTGAATGAATGGTGAATGAATGGTGAATGAATGGTGAATGAATGGTGAATGAATGGTGAATGAATGGTGAATGAATGGTGAATGAATGGTGAATGAATGGTGAATGAATGGTGAATGAATGGTGAATGAATGGTGAATGAATGGTGAATGAATGGTGAATGAATGGTGAATGAATGGTGAATGAATGGTGAATGAATGGTGAATGAATGGTGAATGAATGGTGAATGA